ATGATGACAAAAACTTGTCGAAACATTGTACATTTGCTGTTATGTTAAACTTACATTAAAGTTTTTTCTTCATTACCCATTCAAGCCATCTCCAAGCATTATCAGTCAATTTTTGTCTGATTTGGGAACTGTGAATATAATAATCATATATATGCTACATCCTGTATAAGTTCCACCAAAATTTGATAATCCCAGCTTTTTTATGTACGATCTCTACCACTGAGGTGCTACCGGTTGAGGAAGGGACCCTATGTTATTTACACCTTTAATGATAAAAAAAATTTTAAAACTTTCTTGATGAGTAATGCATAGGAGGATCATGCTCATAAGTTGAGTTACTGTTAACCACCAAATTTCTTACTGTATGGAGAAAGGTCTATTTTTGCTTTTAAGTACAATATTCATAAACTACTTTATAAAAGCAGCAGTTTCACAACACTTATCTACAAATCTGCATGATAGTACAAATCTTAATTTTTTAGAAGATACATGATGATGTTTCTTAAATCCTTCAATTTTATATCACAAGAATAACTACATTTTCATCCATCTGTCACAATTAACATCATCTTGCAGTTAATCTATTTAGAAAAACACATTTTAATTAAACTACTAAGTACAAATCATAAAATTAAAAGAAATACTTATTCATTGTTTCAAAAGAACACTAAGCTAGTCATTGAACATGTGTGAATTTTGCTAATTTACATCTTTTGTTTTTATAGTGTTACATTACTCCAACCACTACAGTGAAGCTACAGACAGTATGGTTATAAAATATCAAGGGTGAAATGACATATAAAGTACTATCACTCAAAATACAGTGTTAAAAACAAACCAAACTGTATGTTTTGAGAATGTTTATAATGCAGTTTAATGTATTTGGAATGCTGTTTTTCAAGACTAAAGGACTGGAGTTCAAAACTATATAATTATTGTTATAGTGTCACTTTAAATGACTCTACAACTCTGTTTCATAATATTTAAACTAACAGTAATGTCAATATTACATAATCAGATAAATAACAACTCTGCACTAACATGAATAAAAACAGTTAGTTGATAGCACTAAATAAGTTTTAACAACTTATAAAAAATTTCAGGAGAAAATTTTCATTCACCTACCTCTTTCAAATATGAAGATCATAAAACAGATTTATCAATCCAACAATTACATTCCTCATTGAATACAAATTTCTACCTCCATGACATTTCAACTCAATTCATATTATATATATACATTGAGTTTTCAAAAGCATTCTCCAAAAGCAGAAGTTATTAACTACATTTTAACTGTACCACTGACCTAGGTCTGTGCTCAGGAGAAATCCAAATGATGAGGCAAACCAAACAACAGCTTCCCAGCTTTTGAGAAAGTAGACAATGATCACCTCTGTAATGCTCAATAACATAATGACCAATAAGCTGTAAGAGTAAACAGACTATAATTTATGTACAGTAAAGGCACAAGGAGTATTACAGAAACTAAATAAGTTATGATTAAAAAATAAATTTAGTAATTCTCATTAGTTAACATACTTGAAACAAAATTATGAAGTATTTGTAGTGGTCTACAAAGAAAGTTTTTTTCAACAGAATATGTGACTGACCAGGTTATCATTTGCATTGTACATAATTTGAACTTGGCTGGACAGAAAATACAATTTTACTAAATTTGGCTAAACATAACAGTTTTTACTACTTCAGACAAAATTTAAAATTTTCTTTATTTTGTATACAAAAAACATTTAAGTTGTAACATTACTATTTATAACCAGCCACAATTTATGCAACATAGTCATTCAAGTTAGACTGACATAGAACTGTCAGAGAACATAATGCTATAATATTGAAATAATATTATATATTCAGCATATGTATAAATTAACATAAACAAGAAACAGCAATTGATGCAACTTTAGCTTAATTTAAGTGCTTTTCTATTTTATTCTTCATTACCCAATTTATAATATTAACTTACATTCTTCAATTAGCCACACATGACTGACATCATCTGCTTTCATCTTGACAGACAGCTTTAGTATGTAATTTGAAATATGGAGAAGTTTTACTGAGGCATGAGTTCAGAGATTAAAGATGTTTGTTTAGATATACATATTCATTTCCATTGCATATTGAAAAATTAATTTATCCTTCATCCCTTTCTGGTTATTTTCAATTAGAGTAGATGTCAAGAAACCAGCATATTACAGATTTATTATAAGAAATACCCATTCTTCCATTCATTCAAAAAACATATATACAAAAATATTATGACTTTCAGTACCTGTTCAAGAGTAAATAGCACTAAAAACCCTCACCAAACATGAATATATGTAGTATACCCACAAGTAATAAACACAGACACTGTACAGCATGTCAGCATATACTCTACAGATGTAAATCACATGCAAGTTGAATATTTCTGCTGGTCACTGTAAAGTGACTGGACTGTTTACATATTGCATGCCTTTGTATGTCCGTAAAATACGTTCTTTATTTGCATGTAGATGGATGGTTTATACATAAGTTATATCTCATGCATGCATATTTTGCATGTGTCTTAAACATGTTCTTGCTGCATCTATTTTGTATCTGTTGTGCATTTCTGCAATTTCTATCTTTCTTATCTTTCAGATTTGGCTGTAATGTATATATATTCTACAACTTACAGTTACATTAAACATCTACTTTATATTTTGGCTCCATGCTGTTACCTAGAATTACATTTGGTAGAGTCAAAATACAAATTCATAGTTTGATGTAAATAATTTCTACAGTATCTCCAGCCTTAGTTGTTTACTTTTTTTTTACAATCTCTATTTGCAGGTTTTTAAATTCCCAATTTTTTATTTATCTTGTTTGCTGGCTTTTTTTATGCCCAAGTATAGGCAAAGGATTACTTGATATAGTAGCTAACTTTATACATTGTAATGATAAGTTATCATTTTACTAAACTGAAAATGTATTTCCAAACACACTTACCTCTCCTGACACTAATAGCTATTTCTCAATCTTCATCTTTGCCATCTAACATTGTGTTCGCTTGCTCCAGTCTTTGGACTCCATTGCCCTTGGCTCTCACACACCCTTATGCAGGTACTGTATATAAGCATTGTATGCAGACAATAAAACCACTATTTTCGCAACTTACCTCATACAGGTCACAAACAAGGAAGGGAAGGAGAGTGTCAGTGGAGGTAAGTATGTTTGGAAATACATTTTCAGTTTAGGAAAATGATAACTTCCAAAACATACATATAAAGTGGGGAATACCGCACTACATCCAGAACAGGTATGCTCTTCACCCAGAACTACAGAAAATTGAAAAGGATGAAATATAAAAGATGAAGATCAAGAAATAGCTATTAGTGTCAGCAGAGGTATGTATGTTTGGGAATAAACATAGCTAATAGCTAGCTCATACAGTTCATGATGATTTACTGTTGCTATTTACTATTTTATCACATTAGTTTGAGATGTAAAATGTTAAGCTGCTGCTGGAGATTGTCATGGAGATTTGTCTGAGAATATATTAAGCATTTACAGTTTCTGTGTAACTACATTCTTTCTATATATAATGCATTGCAATGAGCAAATATATGCCTAAACTAAGACACAACCCCCACTAATCATGTATTATATTTTACCAGCAGAAAAGCAGCATTTTCAAATAAAACATATACTTCATATACCTCCATGTCTTTTAAAGTAACTTTCTACAAATGTGTGTAATAAAATTTAATATTATGTGTATTGGTATTTTTTACTCCTTCACTTCATATATAATATAGGGATTGGCACCAACTGTATAGTGCACAAAGCAATGAGTATCTACATGTTACAGTAATCTAATGTTCATCTATTATTGGCTGGTAATTCTTGTTTCACCCTGTACTTAAGCTTTTTAAAGGACCACTAAAAATATTTGTAAGAAAGCTAACTTCAAGGGGTAATGATAATATTGTTTACACTATAATTATGATGTTTTTTAGCTTATGTAAAATATAAAAGAAACA